TAACTGCTTTTCACGTTGTTATACTCATTCACTGTTGTTTACTGCACCTGTTGTGATTTTGCTTCTCTTTTATATTCTTTCATGCGTGTATATGCATTCACTGTTGTGCTAGAGTCCACGTTTTCCCGCTGCCAGTCCGGCAGCGGGCCAACGATTTATATTCGTACACGATCGCTTTTTTACGTCCTTAGTCATTTTGTCTTTTCAATTTTTTTGGATCCCGGGGTTTTCTTCCCAATAGAAATCTGCCATTGTACTTCCATTTCGCATTTTTATTTAAATCAAGGGGAAACGAAAAAACCCTAGGTTCCAGCACCGGGGAGGGGGGTGGAAGGCATTAGGCTTTAAATTGGGAACGGGGGAACAATCCAATTCCCAAAAACAAGAGCCCCCCACCAAAAATCAAGGGAAACCTTTCCCCGAGGGGTACCCTTTCCAAACCCGGCCCTTTAGGCCCTTATACCTCACGTTGTCCCATTTCTCTGACCCCTGTAGTCCCCCAAAATGATGGATCATTTTTATAACATGGGGGGTTAAAAAACCCCTAGGTTTCACAGTGCTTGTGAGGGGGGATGCAAGGTGTTCAGACTCATTCAGGGGACGAAGCACATCCTTTATTTTTTTTTAATCACAGGAAGCGCTAAACCCTAGGGTTATACACGCATGGGGATGGAAGGTATTCAGACCAATTTGGGAATGGAGCACAATCCAAATTTCCCCAAAAACAAGAGCCCCCCACCAAAAATCAAGGAACCTTCCCCTTTAGGGGTGGTATTTGGAGATTCCAATAGTCTTTCTCCTGCCAATGGACTTTTCCAAAAGCGCTCTATTTGGGGCCCCTTTTTCCACTTAAAAGGTACGAGCGATAGCCCCCTTTGGGTTGCGCTTCTTTTTGATAATAATAACATAAAAGATAGTACGAAAAGCCTTTGGGGATAAACCTCCCTCCTAGCATCTTTTTTTTTTATCCGAGAAAGCAAACGACACCATTTGGATATAAAATTTTAGCCCAGCCCCCCCCTACCTCTGGGTAATCTACGACCTTTTCCTTTCCGCTTTCTTTCTGAAAGATATTTCGTGTCCGTGTTAGCGACTTTCTCTCCTCAGACTTTTTTGGGCCGATTCCACAAGGTTGTGCCTTTGCACACCATTTTATCTTTTCTATAAAAGCTTACCTTCCCTTCTTCTATCACACATTTCGTGTCACTTTGTGGATGACTTCGCTGTGCACACAGGCGCGACTGTACCTGGTAGGCCTCCTTCGATTTAATTTACCCTGTTACCCTTGGGGCCACTTCTTTAAATTTATATTTTCTAGTGAGAAAACCCCTTCAATTTTCCAAAACTAATGTCCTCACCCAAAAATTCCATTGTACTTACACGGCTACGTACCAAATTTACCAAGTTTCTTGGGCCTTCTGTTCGATCCCTTGACATGGAAACCCCACATTTTTCCCCTTTTAAAGCAGCCTCCTTGGTCCTTAAAAATTTTTGGCATCGTTCATGGGGACAGATCGCCCGACTCCCCTCTTGTTGCATTCCATTTTATCTTTGCTATAATGACCAACCTTCATTTTTTAAAAAAACACGTTCGTCGCCACGGGATGATTTGCTGTTTACTAACCAAAAGGCGCTACTTCCCTAAAGCCCCCTTCGATTTTACCGGGTTACATTTTGCCCATTCCCTTTAAAAATTTATATTTGGAAAAACCTTTACATACAAATGTTTTTCCTACCATTGTATTTCACCTCACGTTTCCCCTTTTGAATCGGTTGGCCAAGTTTTTGGCCTTTGTTCACGCCCAGTTACTTGGCCCTCCATTTCCTTCCTTTAATGCAGCCTCCCTTTTTCCCCTTATTCGGGGCATTTTCATTAGCGGTTGCCAACTCTCCTCCTTTAAGCTTCCTCTTCTTGTCCTTTTATCACCAAAGTCGCATGCTCATGCCTTAGTTGTTTATACACATGATCAATCTTTGGGGGCCCTTGGTTTCACAGCAGTGTTCCCTGAAGTCATTTGTTAGACTCGACTAGTATTTTACTGCCGAGTTGTATGCCATCCTCAAAGTCCTTCTCCATATTACATACGTGTCTCCTTCGGCGTTTGTGATCACTTCAGATATCCTCGGCACTTTACAGGCCATTAAGAATTTGATTCCCTTATCCAATGGTCCTTCGTATTCAACTTTGGTTGTGCCGTGTCACTAGCAAAAACAAAGGAGCTGAAAATTTACCACAGGTGAAGGACAACCTCACATCTACCTCTCCACTACTTTTGTATTCCGAAGTATTTAAAAACCACCTTATTTGCTGAATCCTGCTGAGCAGGCAAAAAGCATCATAGTAATGAATACCAAAAAACTGTTACAAGTACTATTACTCAGGGGCTCTCTCACCATCAGATTATTATAATCAAGGGGGAATTATTATTATAATCAAAAGAACGCTAAGCCACAAGGACTATCGCAATAAAGGGGGGAACGCTAAACCCGGAGGATTTATACAGCGCCTGGGGGGGTGTTATGTGAGGCATTCAGGCTTAATTCTGGGAACTGGGCACAGATCCAATTCCCTAAATCAAAAGCCCCTCACCAACATCAAAGAACCTTCCTTGAGGGTCTCACCATCAGAAAAAGTGCTAACCCCATCAAATTCTTAAGGAATACTCAATTCTTTATATAAATATAGATTAAGACGTGATTTTTTTTTAACAAGTCGGCGTCTCCCACCGAGCAGGGCGACCCAAATAAGAAAATCCCCATACACAAAAGTCTTTCCTTTACTTTGTCCCTTCACGTTTTGACCTTTCACTGGGCACTTTAAGCATTGTTTGTTCTTATAGGTCCGTAATTCAACTTTGGAATTGTACGTATAAAAAAAAGACTATTTTACCCTGAAAAACTAGCCCCAATGATTCCAAATTTTTTAAAACCTTATGTATAATCATGTGGAGGCAAAAATCATGTATGAATACAAAAAACGTTACAGTACTATTACTACAGGGCTCTTCACACAGATTATATAATCAAGGGGGGGAATTATTATTATTTAAGCTCAATAAGAGCGCTAAGCCACAAGACTATCCCAGCATCAAGGGAAGCGCTAACCGCGAAGATACAGCGCCTGGGGGGGGATGTGGAAAGGCATTCAGCTTTATTCGGGAGGATTGGAGCGATCCAATTCCCTAGATCAAGCCCCTTCACCTACATAATGAACCTTCCTTGAGGGGTCTCACCATCAGAGAATATACTGCTAGCCATCAAATTCTCTCAAGGAATCTCAAATTCTTATATAATATACTTACACGTGATTTTTTTAACAGTCGGCGTCTCCCACGGGCAGGCGTAACCAAAAAGAAAAAATCCCCAAAAGACAATACTTTCACACTTTACCCTCACTCGCCAATCCACTTTTTGCAGAGGTGCCGGAATACAACGCTTAGAATATGTCGTGTAGGAAACATATCTCCAAACTGCCAATTCCCAATTATGATAATTAGTATACTCATGTGGATGGCTAAAACCTTAGATTTACAACACAATGTGGGAGGGAGGGATGGAGGTATTCAGGTCAATTCAGGAACTGGAGCACAGCCATGTCCCAGATCAGAGCCCCTCACGCGTCAGGACCTCCCTTGAGGGGCAATATCCAAACCTCCTTTAGAGTGCAGGATTGTACTTCCCATTCAGGACTCAAGTAATCTATATAAATACAGTTTCCTGAAGATCTTCACACAATCTGACCCTTCTCACACTCCAACAGATGTAGGTCCCAAATCCATTTGTCTCCTTCACCCTTTATAACACAGCTCGCTTGCTAATCCAACCTCGACCACACCACACCTTTACCTCCTCCAACCTTGTTGAAGGACGACCCTAACCCGCATCTGTCTGTGGGGTTCCGGTGATTGATGGAAGGTAAATACTTGTTGATGGTAAGCTATATGTCAGCTGGGTAATGAGAGATGAGCCAGCATGCATGTCAATACGCCGAACTGAGAGCGGGCAGTCGTCTCACTGAACTCATGCTGATCCCATGACGTCCATACATAAGGGACTTCTATTAAACACATGCGAGGTACATATACCTGCTTCAGTTCATCTATACTAACACATATAAGAGATCAGAACACTTGCTGAATTCCTTCCCTACAGATTTATACACTCTCCAGAATATTACTTTGATCTATTCTTGCTAAATGACTATATTATTATTATAATCAAGGGGGAAGCACTAAACCCGGAGGATTATACAGCGCCTGGGGGGGGAATGTGGAAGGCATTCAGGCTTAATTCGGGGAACTGGAGCACAGATCCAATTCCCTATCAAGCCCTCACCACATCAAGGCCCCTTGGGGACAAATGCCAAACACTTCAAGAAACCCTTCTCATTCTTATACTTTCAACTCACACCCTTATTCCACACTCGAATTTTCTCAATATTTACACCTTAAGGCAGGATATCTTCACTGCCTCCAACTGCAGCATTTACAACCCAAGCTTCACACCCATATAAGTGTGTTGGTACTACTATACTTTCATACATTCCCTTCTTTGCCTCCATAAATAACATTTTTTGCCTCCACATATACCTCAATGCACAACTCGCCTTTTTTCCTTCATCAATTCTATGATTAACCTCATCCTTCATAAATCCATCTGCTGACACCAACTCCCAAATATATGAAAACATTCACTTCTTTCATACTCCTCCCCAACTTGATATCCAATTTTTATCTAAATCATTTGATACTCACATCACCTTACTCTTTTCTATGTTCACTTTCAACATTCTACCTTTACACACTCCCAAATTAGTTCACTAACCTTTGCAATTTTTCTTTAGAATCTCCCACAAGCACAGTATCGGCAAAAAGTAACTCACTTCCCATTTTGTATTCAATTCCCCATTATTTAATCCCACCCCTCTCCCGAACACCCTAGCATTTACTTCTCTTACAACCCCATCTAGTAGTAATATAAGGATATATAAATACATTCAATGTACTTGAAAGTCTTTATGTGCAATTATTCAAGAAGTTTAAAACTACATCTCGCTCCCACTGACAGAAAAATGTAATTTACATAAAGATTAAAGAAAAAAAAATACTCAATACATAAACTAAGTTTCAATGTTGCATTAGTTTGCATTCACTGCACTATAATGTACAATACATTTTAAAATCCTTTTAAAGTACATACACTTAAATAGAAACCCCATACAAACATATCCTAGGAGATCACACTATTCTCCAGGTTTCAATTGATTCACCATACAGGTCATTTTCAGAAGTCACCTCTTAACAGTTATATAATGTAATATTTTATATTTTCACCATTTCTACTGTGTTGCTGAAAATCCTGTTAAATAAAAAAAAAAGGACGTAATAATTAAATAAATCACACTTTGTAATTCATAGACAAGAGCAGCTTATAAACTAAGTTAGAACAAAGGCAACTAGATAGGAAAAAAAAAAAAGTCCCTAGATATTTCTCAGTAATTCTTGACACAAACTACAATATTTGCTTCCATAATTACTTCCATGTACGAAACTGGAATTTAACTTAATCCACTTGCTCACATCCTGAAAAAAATATACTGAATTTACCTAAGGGGATTTATATTTTCAATTAATGTGTATTAATTACACAATCTATGCTATATCCTACAATTAGAGAACGTATAATTATTTTATTTAAGACAACCTAGCACAGATTCAATAGTGTGCTAGTGTAAAAAAAAAAAAAGACCAATTAAAAAAAATCTTTAGCTAAACAATTAGTTATGTTTTGCTAGGTTCCTCAATATTCATTAATTTAACATTTTTGTCACCACTTGTGACCAAAAACAAAACAGGAAAATGTTGCATGTCCCTCACAGTTTCACAAGTGGCAGAGATTTCATTCAGGAAAAACAAATGTTGAAAAAAAAAAAAAAAATTGAGAAAACAATCTGGCACTAATACTAACAGACAATGGACAAGGTTCACTTCTTAAATTTAGAGGTAACAGACTAACTAATGTATTCAGAACATTTTATTAACAGAAAATCATTTGTCTAAACTACAAACAAAACTTTCATTTGGCATATGGTAATATTCTATATCATAAGTCCTGCTGTACATGTTATATATGATGGTTGTTGCAGTGCAATGAACAGTTATATTTATGGAAAACACTTGACAACTGCACAAAATTTTGGCTGTATATTTCAACCTCAGTTGTGAATCCAAGGTGGGGGTTGAAAACTGCAGACAATTTCTTGTTTTATTGTCAACAAGTGGTTTTTCCATCAACATTGTGTGTACATAGGCTCACTCATATGGGCATACTCATTTGTATCCTTATTTTACAGTAATGAAAATATCCATTCTGTTTGTGAATTTAATGCAACACTCCTCCAGCTGCATTCAACAAAACAGTTCAACATACAATGTAACACAATAGTAAACATTACTCAATGCCCACTGTTAGTGTACTATGACAAGTCATTTAAAAGCAAACTTGCTTGGGTTACTTCAGGCTATTTAGGAAATAAGTGAAATCACTCCTAGATTCAACAAATTACTTCTGATAAATCAGGTCTTCAATGCAACACACTAAATCTGGAACACATACAACCTCTGAGGAATCTTGTGATCTAGCTTAAGGTGACAGCAGTTGTGGCACAAGCATCAATACTTGTATCTCCCTGAAATACAAAATATTCATTTATGATGACGAAAGTAAAAAAAACAAATCAACCTTTTACTATGGTAGACTAATAATTATCAGAAGAGCAATTTATATAATAAAATTAAAACAAAAAATATTTGTGAATACTTTAAAAGATGAAAGTCAGTTTTATGCTATATTTGAAACAAGACTAGTACATATAAACACATGCCAATTTTGAAAATTATATAAATCACTCAAGTTATAATATAATCATATTAAGCACTAAATCCAAAAGGAAATCATTCAAGTATGGTGTAGTTCTTTAAGGAACAAAAACTTAAAATACATGCAGGATAATAAGCTATACATTATTAGAAAATTTAAGTTTCTGATGCACCTCAGCTTTTCAAAACCACATACACCTTTTTACTCAAAGATGGATGCCATGAGCATTTTACCAACCTTTGTTATACATTCTCTCAATATACCAAGTGCTGTATGGCCCTTGTGGGTTTATAATAATACCAATGTACCAAGTCCTACAGAAGTAAAAATTGAGAGGAACAAACACAAGTTTTAGTTTTGTCAAATTTCTGAGATGAAGTGCATACATAGTATATTGTAACAACAAAATTTTAATTTAAAAAAGTAATCAGATAGTACAGTACTACAGATGTGCAGCACTGTATGACCCATATAGGTTTAGTGCATAAAACCAATATACGATAGTTTTGAAAGTTTTGGAAGACCAGTTCAGATTCTATTACCCTCAACTGCAACAAATGAATCAATTAAGATATTCAGGATATTTTTTTTATGCCATGCACATATAGCTGTACATCTTGCATGACTAACTCGTTTGTTTTTCAAACAGAAAATACCACCTTTTGAAATGTGAGAATTAAAATAAGATTGTATGCACTTCCACTAAATTTAATGCCCCAATTGTTGGATGCTCAACTTTTAACACTATGCCTCTTAGTGAGTGATTATTTACAGCACTAATAACAAACATCAATACTGGCTACAGTGCTTATAACCCATCTATAATTATCTATCTGCATTTTAGCAATACTATATGTGATTGCAAGACAGTTACTAGATCAATGTTAATTTTCAGATTTTAAGCAGTAAATTATATATTGATCATGAAGCTTTGAAATTATATCCTTGAGTAAATTACCTTCAGCAAATAATTTATATTTATCAAGAGTTCAGGTCTTGCTCCATATAAAACAGGAGTCAATGACAGAAACAGCCTATGCAACAGTTATTCAAGGCCTATAAAATACATTTAGCTCAGCTAAAAGCTGGAAAGTACAGAAATGGTAAAATTGTCATTTCTCCAGTTAAATACTGTAGGATAAGATTGGAAAATGGTAATGGGCCCTGAATTACAGAATCTGACCAATGTTAGGAGATATGCAAAATCTGTCCAGGGATCATTTCTTGTACCTATTTTAGACATTAGCATTACGACCAAATATATATACGAGGACAACAGTTTGATCATGATTATCTTTGATGTTTCTTTAACAAATGAGAAATTTGCAAACACTATACTAATACACATCACCAACTAACAGGTATATTATACTATATGATATGGGAACCAGCTTCTGTTATAGGAGTGTAAAACAGAAGTATTAATGTTGGTAGAATTACTGACAGTATGTTAGGTAATAGGACAAGTGCAACCAATGTGACAATTTATTGTGGTAACATTTCGCTCTCCAGGAGTTTTATCAAGCCATTACAAACTATACATGGACACAGAGGGTATATATAGACCTAGAGGTTTAATACTAGTGGTAGTAGCAGTAGTAGTAATACAATGTGGTAGAACAATCAACTTGCACATGAGTAAAAGGTTAAATGCTATTACTTGGGTAGCATAAAAATAGGTTAGACAAATATTTCTGTTAGTGGTTGGATTTCAGAAGGCTTATTTCAGTGTTCCTCCTCTGTTATGTTCTTGTGTAGTGTTGGCAGCAATGACTGTGATGGCAGGGTTTGTTGTTTTGAGGAGGACTTTTGCTAATAGTATTCAGAGATGATGAAGCTGCCTCTATTTTGCTGGATTGTTAGAAACAGTGATTAATGATGATTCAAGGCATATACGGAAATTAGGTTCTCTGATCACTAGTCGGGCATCATTGAATTTCATGAGGCGATTGGTGGAATTCCGATGTTGCACGCAGGTATTGTTCAAGTTATCATTCTTACATACGTTAATGTGTTCATCGAGACATGTTTCAAGGTTCCTTGCTGTTTCACCAACATATATTTTGTCGCAGCCTCCACAAGGTAGTGTAATCTCCTGCATTGACTGGTTCGTGGTGGCTCAATTTTGTCCTGGTTAGATACCTTATGGAAGTGCTGGTGACTAGTGTTAGTTTGTGAGAGTACCTTAGAGACGTTCACTGCAACCTGGCTGTTGGGAAGGATTATAACTATTAGGAGTGATGGTGTGCGAAGAATTGATGACCTAAGAGCTCCTTTCTTGCAGTCTTTGATGAAAAAGGAAGGAAAATGTAGATCAGTGAAGGTTTGGTGTATGCAAGTACATTCCTCATCAAGAAACTCAGAACTACAAACTTGGTATGCTCTTAGGAAAAATCCAATGATGATGCCTCTTTTGAACTCTGCATTAATTTCAACTGCTTTTCTTTCAATAAAAGGTTCTACAAACCTATGGTATGGGAATGTTGGTCCCCCATTTGTGCCATCTTAGCCAACTTGTATGTAGAGCACCTGAAAGCTGAACACTTCATCCTCACCAGTGTCACTTGGTTACGTTATGTGGACAACGTCCTCATAGCTTCCAAATGTTCTGATGTGTGGAATCATCGGGCAAGGCTCATCGCAGCTGAACCAGCTATTCACTTTACACTAGAAGAGTCCATTGACAAGCTACCTTTTCTAGATGTCCTCATTCACAAAGTAGATAATCCAAGATTTCAAGTTTACCGTAAATCTACAAACAAAAATGATCTTGCCCACTTCTATTCCAGTCAAGATACCGAGACCAAAAGAAGTATCATCGGATGTTTCCTAAGAGCATACCGAATTTGTAGTCCCGAGTTTCTTGATTCACTGATCTACAGTTTCCTTAATTTTTCATAAAAGACTGCAAGAAAAGAGCTCTTCAGATCATCAATTCTCTACACAGCAGCACCACTCTTAACAGTTATAATCCTTCCCAACAGCCATGTTGCACTAAATGTTTCTAAGGTACTAGCACAAACTAACACTGGAGTCGCCATCGCATCCAGTACAGGACAAAATCGAACAACCACGAACCAGTCAATGCAGTTTACACTATATAGTGGAGGCTGCAACAGAATATACGTAGGTGAAACAGATAGGAACCTCGAAACACGTCTCAGTGAACACATTAACGCATGTAGGAACGATAACTTTAACAACGCCTGCATACAACACTGGAATTCCACCAATCACCTCGTGAAATTCAACGATGCCCGACTAGTGATCAGAAAACCTAATGTCAGCAGACGTAAATGCTGTGAATCATCATTAATTCCTGCTTCTAACACAATCAAGCAAAACAAAGGCAGCTTCATCATCTCTGAAGTATTAGAAAAAATCCTCAAAACGATAAACCTGGCATCACGTAGTCATTTCTGTTAATACTACATAAGAACATAACAGAGGAGGAACACTAAAACAGGCCTTCTGAAATCCAACCACTAACAGAAATATTTGTGTAACCTATTTTTATGCTACCCAAGTAATAGCGTTTATAACCTTTTAATCATGTGCAAGTTGACTGTTCTACCACACTATTACTACTACACTATTACTACTACTACTACCACCAATAGTATTATACCTCACTAAGCCTATATATACCCTCTGTGTCCATGTATTGTTTGTAACGGCTTGATAAAGCTCCTGGAGAGCGAAACATTGCTACAATAAAATGTCACATTAGTTGCACTCGTGTCCTTTTACCTAACAAAACCGAGGTAATGCTGCCTGTTACCATGCCTACTCAATCTCCCTTGGGTTGTCAACTACTTAAAATTAAACCAACTTTGGAATTAAAAATAATATAATCTTTACTTTATTCCTGGGGGAAAAATTACACCAATGACAGTAATGGACAGTCTTTAACTATAAAACAAACTGTTATGGAAGCATGTCAAATAAAAGCCACAATATAATATCTTGTTTATTGAACTAGTTCCTGTATGATTCATCACTTCTTTGCTGAGAGAGCATCCTGCACATGTTGAAAATACACCTTGTCAGCGTGTCCCAATTCATCGGCATCACTTTGGCATCTTAATCCGATGCCTTCAGCCGACCTGGGTTGGTACAAACATACAAATAATTAGGGATGAATATAATGCTATATAATTAATATGTTACACTTACAACTGACTAAAGGAAATTTTTTTTTTTTTTTTTGCTCTTAATTCTACCTTAAATATTCTTAACTGAGGCAGCAGCTCAAACATTATTCTGATCTCAATAGGAACTTTAAAAAAAAAAAAAAATCCTTATCAGAGGAAGGCATGCCATGAGGAAAAAAAAAAAAAAACTCAGTCCAACATCAGGGATTTTAGACTAAGATACTGTACTATGTTGTATACCATATCCTGAGGATTTACTTAGGGTTGCTAAATTTCATAGCTACAATTTAGAGGAACAGGAAGGGGCAGGCTTTCCAATGTCTTTGACACCACTAGACTGTTAGTGTATAAATTGTTTACCTCTACAAGGTGATGAAAAATATATTGTGGCTTTTACACAACATGCAAACAGAAGCTTAAATATTTACGTTGGCTCAGACGATCAGCGTCTGATGCCAGCACCTTTGGAGTTGGCATGAGGTTTGCCTGAGAAGGTAAGCAGCTTTAGCAACACCAAGGCAATTTAAAGAAAAAAAAAAAAAAAAAAGAGGGTAAGCAAAGGAAAAATACAGCAAATAGAGATGGGAGTGGTTGTGGAAAAAGGATTGGGAAATGGTAAGGGGAGAAGGGAAAGAGCAGAGATGGTATTAGAGATAGTAAAAACAAGGATGGTAGTGCATGTTGAGAGATGGAGAGCTATATTAAGAACAATGGAAGATTAGAATTGCCACAAGACAAGGGGCTGAAACAGTTTGCAGCATTGGTCTGGCCATAAGAAGAGCAATGACAGTAGAAAAGAAACAGCAAGAGCACGGAAAGTATTGGCAACAGTATTTATAGGCAAATACAGTGTGCTAAACTTATAAATCCCCATTACTGTTAAGAGTAAAACAACAGAATGCTTTAAGGACTTCCTGAGAAACTAATGTACTACTTAAAACATATAATCACACCATTAATTGATGTTCGTGTACCACTGTTCCTCTTATACCGAGATATTGTGCTCTTGAGCTTTTATCAATGCAAAGATACCATGAACCTTAATGAATATATTGATTATGTACAGTGCAATATTTCGAACGAATAAAGAAATACTGTACGTTTAAAAAAAGTATTTACAGGAGGGTCCCACTTATACAGCGGGTTAGGCTCCAGGCTACCACTGTAAAGTGAATCATCCTTTTTTCCACTTTTAAATGCATATAAATCCTGATAATATATTATAGTGTAAACACGTTAAGATTGCAATAAAAACTAGCATAAAAAATCAAGTAAATGCACATATATAATGGGTTTGTTTCGTATGATAAAAGTGGGTGCGTGAAATGATACGTTTTCCCGGAGGCTTCTTACTTTTTTTGTTAAGTCGTAGGAGGGTTTTACACAGCTTGTGTGTTGGCCCAGGGCCCGGGCAGGCCATCCCACGAGAAGAGCTGGGAGCCTTGCGTCTTGCTGCTAGGCCCTGTGTGAGTGAGAGTGAGGCAAGCCCTGGTCATACTGAAGGGCAAGGCCTATAGGTGGCAGCACTTGAGTGGCGCGAAATATGAACTAAGCTGGCAGACAGCAGGGGCCCTGTCTGTGCAGACAGTACAGGCTGTCTACATACGCTGGCCACCTACTGCGCGTCGTCCCAACGCGACAATACTGGTGGTAAAAGAAACCCCGGTGTCTCTCTCGTGGGAACGGGGCACAGAACACAAAATAAAAACATATATATACATATGAACATGGAAAAAAACTTCCTACGGGGAGGAAGAAAAAACATGTGGGGATGCAAACATCGTGGTCATGGGCAGTGAGCATCAAAGGGGCATCACTGAAAACGCCTTCCTGCGTCTGGACAGATACTGCAACACGGGAACATTGCTGCGGCTGAGCTGCCCGTAACAGGTTAGGGTCTCCTCTGGAACGGTGAAGCAGTCATCGTAGCAGTGGCTGCGGGTTTTCACTCAACCTGGAGCACAACATGCTGGTGCCCTCGAGGGAGGCGTCGACAAAACTCGGCAACTGGCAGGACTTCTGGCAAGCGACTCAGGAGGACACTTCTCAACTGGTACTGTCGCTGGGCTGTCACTCCCGGGCGAGCGTGGAGCGATTTTGTGGAGGATCGTGGCAGAGACGACTGGGGCGAAAAAATCTGGGAGTCGTAACATCATACACCAGACTGCATGAGAGAGCTAGCAGTCAAAGTGACTTCTTCTTTGTGCAGGCTGCTCACTGAAGCTTGTGACACAAGGCTGACACAGCGCCTCCCCGACAGGCCTAACTGCGGCTTGGCGAGTACCCACTCTCGACAGTTAAGTTATAGCAGAGGTTAGTCTAAGCATCCCCAGACTTTTTCTCTACATATAACTGCACTCTGAGGGTCTGGGGGTGAAGTGAAACAAATCTTGATGGGAATCGTAGCAGTACGATTCTGCAGAACAAAAACGAGCGACGAGCATAAAAGCTTTCTTACAAGGGGGCTCATACCTCGGGGCTGAGTATCACTGTCAAACACACTGGTCACAGGGGTGACTTAACACAGGGGTGCTACTCAGGTCTGGCTCAGACCTCACGGAAACACACGGAAATTTTAAAAACACACCGCGGTACAACATGTAGAACACTGACTGAGGGGAAAATTAATTAACAAAACGACATATTTTCTCAACAATACTAAATAATTACTGAACACTCGATGGTGACATGTGATGTCAGGCGTGATGTCGCGAGGTGACTCAGAGACATCTCGAGGTGACGTCAGGCAACATCGTGACATCATGAAGTCAGCAGCATCGTGGGTGACTCGATGTGAGCGGGCACAGACCACAGCATGGGGCCGGGGACACCCGGGTAACTCACTAGCTCGTAGTCTACGTGACATCGCCCCCCACCCACGTGGCGTCGTGATCCACTGGTGTCGGGATCTACGCGCATGCTGACCCCACGTAGCTTCGAGTGGCCTGGGGCACTCGGATACACAGCTCTGGCAATGAATCACGGACGAAAAACAGCAAACGCAGCAAGGGAGTGGCAGTGGTGAGTGGTGAATGGTAGTGTGGTGGCGAGGAGCGTGGGTGAGTGTATGGCAGGGCGAGCATCTGGCCATTCCTCCTCTCACCCACAAACACAGGGAAACACACTGGACGCAGAAATCACCACAAAACTCACCTCTGGCTTGCTGAAACAGCTGTGCTGAGCTGAACAACAACAGCAACAACAAGTGACGCTGAACACGTGACTTGAGAAACAGCGTGGGACACTGTAGCGTGGAGTCACTGGGACGCCACTCGCAATTCTCAAAGAAATTCGGCAAATTTCGGCTGGATCCTGGCTTGTACCTGTGCCCTGGATGCCAAATGTGCAGACACACATCAGGATAACTCGTTGAGAGACGGAGCTTCTTGTGTAGGTGATGAAGTGAAGATGACTTCATACCTCTTCCTCCCTCTCTCCAGGCAAACAAAACTCTGCGAGCACCGCTATCACCATTTATAAGGGGTTTTGTTTGGTATTCTGGTAGCGGGTGGTTAATAATACGTCTTGGGGGCTTCTTACTTCATTGTTAAGTCGTAGGTGGGTTACACAGGCTTGTGTGTTGTGTCCCATGGCCCGGGGCGGGGCCATCCCACGAGAGAAAGCTGGGAGGCCTTGTGTCTTGCTGCTAGGCCGCTGTGTGAGTGAGAGGAGGCAAGTCTGGGCATACTGAAGGGGGCAAGGCCTATAGGGGGCAGCACTTGAGTGGCGCGAATATAAAACTAAGCTGGCAACAGCAGGGCTGTCTGTGTAGACAGTACAGGCTGCCCTACACTACAGTACACTTATTACTTACCTTAAAATACAGTATTTGAAGTCTTAATGTAGGGTAAGAGGTGAGAAGTACTTACTGTAGGAAGTCAGGTGGGGTAGCTCACATGACTACCACATCTCTCAATTATGTTCGCTTTACTATGACTATATATTTGGTAACATATGCAGCACATCTTTTACATAATTTTGAAAAAATTTCATAGATTACTTAATGAAAATATCTAACATAATATACGACATTGAAGTGCCCCAGAGCAATGTTACTTGCACCTTAAACTAAAACATTATGGAGTCGGAGGACATACCCTCGCATACCAAAAATCTCTTTCTTAGCAAAGACATCATGTCTCCACAAACAGTGTAACATCATTTAACTCAGCCTGTAGTCATAGGATGCCACAAGGTAGTGTCCTTGGCCCTCTGCTCTTCCTCATTTACATCAATGATCTTCCCATGCACCCTTTATCTCCTTAAACCTGTTTTATTTGTAGATGACACTAGTGTCTTCTCCCACTCAAATCCACTATCCAAGACGGATTTGTACCAAACTTGCACACGAAAATCACTCCCTATGAAAGCAAAAGACTCTGCAGGAGATGCAACATTCCCCCAACGAAAAGCAGGGTGCCAAGAGTAAAACTGAGACAACACAATAATATTGGGGGCCCCAAGACACTGCCTCCCATATACATAAGGGGATTACCAACAGACGCCTGGGTGTCTTCAATAAGGCACTGGACAGGCACCTGAAGTCAGTACCTGACCAACCAGGCGGTGGTTTGTTTCGTCAAATTTGTATGCAGCCAGCACTTTAAAAGCCTGGTTGATCAGACCCTGCTCCACCATGAAGCCTGGTCTCAGACTGGGGTGGGAGGGGCATTGACTCCCAAAAACCCCCTCCATGTAATGCTTAGTGACACTGTCAATGACAACTACTAAAAAAATCTAGGTGGATGACGACCAACAAACTCGCCCTCAAATATAGACGAAACCTACATACTGTTTGAAACAAAACTCAAATATACACTTTAAAATACTGATCAATGAATCCTCCATTACAAGATACTGACGCAAAAATTTTTTGGTCTTTAGCATGACTGCAGCCTGAAATTCCATACCCACATCCAACACATAGCCAGAAGGTCTCCAAAGCATAGGCA